CTGCTCCGCGCTTGGCGAGCTCCGGGCCGTGAGTGAAACGCCCGCATCGGCGCAGGTGGGGAGAGCCGGAGAGTGCTCGACAGCTGTCACCGGAACTTTCAAAAGCCCTCGCTCACCTTCTGCTCACGCACGTTCATGCTCGGAAACCAGGGCGAACGCTGCAGCCCGAGGGGGCGGTGAAGGGGCTCAGAGACAGGCACGAGCTGTGAATAAGAGCTGAGGTGATGGCTGGGCGGGCCCTGCGATCGGGGGAGCCTCGGGGTACCCGCCTGGGCCCTGGGTCCCACCGCCCGGTAGGAGCCGGGGCCCCCGGACGTGTCCCGGCTCCGCACACAGCCCGGTGAGTCCCGGTTGGAAAGGACGGGCCGGTCCGTGCAGCGCTGGCTGCAGTCGCGCGCTTGTGAATCAGTTACCTTCTCCTTCCCCGAGTTCACAGAATTCCCACCAAACACCTCTGCTGAAGGACTAGGCTTTTACTCGTAAGTGGCAGTTACTCATGAATAAACTTACTCGGCCGTAAATGGGACCTGAGATTTAACTTCAGGCAGCCACCTGGTTTTGGTCTAGGCCAAATACAGAGATCTGACATAACTTATTTTCCTCCATTCCAACGGCTCAAGCTCTCAGCATCAGCAAGCACTGAGGAGGCTCGCCACCCCGAGTGGAGGCATGGCTGGCACCACGGAAGCCAGGATGGCGAAGTAGGAAGGAGTAACAGCCCTCCCACAGGAGAGCCATCCTTGGTGGGACCCAGTGAACTGGAAGCAGCATCCAAAGTAAATCAATCCCCAGATGACACACTCCACCCCTCAGTGCAGCCACAGGAGAGTGAATTCAATCCAAATGGTTATTTATTCTAAAACTGGAACTACTGTGCCTACACATTCGCCAGAATGCTGTAAGGAGAACAGGGGAGGAAAGTTACAGATGTAAACAATGACACAGTTACATTTTTTTAAAAATGGTAAAACCCTTTTTTACTGGCCACTTCCAAGAATGCTTTACAGGTTGTGCAAAAACATTTACAGGCTCCATGTGATGTTTGTTTTTCTCACAAGCTTTTCCATCTACAACTACAACAGAGGTCGGATAAAACACTACACAGATCTAAGGAGAACAAGGCTAGGGGTCCCTTCTGGTAACCCACATTTGCCCCTAACATTGCTTTTTTTATAATAAAAACAGAAACAAAACCCAGACACCTGGTGCTGCTGTGAGTGATCTCGGGTTAAACCAACGAGGACGTGGCAGTCACTTTCCACCCACCTAGAAAAACAGCTTTTTTTTTTTTAAAGGTGACTTTCTAGTGTCAAAATTGAACAGCAAGTACCTCCCCTAATCCTCCCTCCCCACAAGAAACCCAAAGGGGCAGAGTTTATCCCCCTGGCCCTGAGGGCCTAGCACCCACACACCATGTCATAGACTACAAAAGGATGCTACTTGCTGGAGGACTGGATATTTCGAAGGGGGTGGCAGTTTCTGCCTCAGATTTAATTTTCTATTATAACATGATCTTGCCCTAAGAGAATTTCTTTGGGCTCCAGTTTTCACCTCCTTGCCCTGATACTATAAGCAAAGCTTCTCAAAAACTCCCTTAATAAAAAGTTAGTGGGTTACAGAAAAGTTCATGCAGTCACTTCATCCACTGCCACACACAAATCCATTCGACGGCACTACAAAAGCAGTGTCCAGAGGACACCATGAGCAAGCAGTTACTTCCTATCAGCCCCCCATTCCAGGCTGGGGGTCAGAGGTATTTGTGGGACAGAAGGGTGTATCACAGACAGGCAACTAGAGGGCCAGAACGAGAGCCTGCAGACTAGAGAAGGGCTGCACGGTGGTCACAGTGGGAGAGGGAGAGACCAAATCTCGGCACAAAGTTTTAAACAGAGAACTGCTCAGGTGAGGAAATGGAAGTGAAGCTTTTTCTAGTAACAACCCAGGGTCTTTCCTCACCAGGAAGCGCTGCAACATGTGGTATTGGCTGAAGAAGCTCTTGGCGGACTCCATGCTGAGCTGCTGAGCGGGAAGAATTAAAACTGAAGCTACATATTGAAAGAGCATTCCCATGTCCCACCCATAGCCTTGAACCCGGGCACCTGAAGCTGTTAAGAATTGGGAGGGTGTTGGTAAAGTTGCAAAGACCATCCCAACTGAAGTCTCCTGGCTTGAGGCCTCTCTGGGGACACGCAAGCAAAGCACCCCAGAAGGAATCCTGTTTCAAGAAGCCAGGAAGGGGCGCTCCCTTTCATGCACACATGACACACACATTCACACTCTCCCCAAGTTGCAGCAGCCCCACTGAGCTGCCTCCCCCCCGCCCCCACCCGCCCCTTTCTATTCACTTTCTACCTGTGTATCAAAAAGACCAGCGGGCTCGTGCCCTCCATACTGTATAAAATAGTTGCTATTCTCAGCACCTGGGCCTGCTAGCCCACACCACAGGATTCACTATGTACACATCCTGCTGCCATGAAAAGAATCCTGCTTCATTTCTGTGTGAGCGGAAACCCTGAGAAACGTTCCTTCTCTTGCACTGTAAGAGGACAGATACTCTAACAGAGATGGTTTCAGAGACTTCATGCCTATCTCAACCTTGGAAGACAGAGAGGACAGACTGACGATCACCATCTTCAGGCTGAGGCCTGCAACCCCATTCTCCCCCAAGACTTGATGGGAACTCATTAATGGGTACGTAGAGGATGCAAGCTATTCTGCTCTGTGAACAAGCAGTCCCCCTGCCTCCTCAGCCTGGGAATCCTATATAATAGAACCACCCAACTGGTAGTCTCCAGGCCTCAGCCAAACAGCACACAGGCACAGGAAAGTGGAGACAATGCCACTCTGCCTCCCAGCCCACCAGACCAGATATCCCAAGAGGGAAAGGTTGGTAAAGAAAATACAAACGGTTAGTTGGTGCAAGTGATTGATAAGAGCCAATCGTTTATTTCACTGCCCCAGTCACAAGCTCTCCCTGTCCCCTCCTGCCTGCCACGGAGAGTGCCCTCACACGCCTGCTTGCTCACCCTCCTCACTCTCCCTCACATGGCTGCGCTCCTGCTGCCTTACAGTGTTAAAGGGTGACATTTTCAGTCCTTTTCCTGTCCAACTGCAGGGTATAGGACAGGCAGCCCTAAGTGCTGCTTTCTGAGCAAATGTTTTTTGATTACAAATATCTAACTAGGTTTGAAATGTTTTATAGAATAAGACAATATTCTTTTCAACAAACTTTAAAAAAAATGTACAGTTTTGTTGTTTGTTTCCACCTCCCCCCTCCCCCACCCTTGTTTGCGCACCCTCCCTCCCACCACCCCTCCCCGGCAGCTCAGCCCCACCCCGACAGCCCCTGTTTTCCTTGGTTGTGTTTTTGGGGATGGCTGGCACCCCCAGAGATTCAGCTTCATGGCTGACAGGTGACAAGGGCAGAGGCTTCACCGATACCCTTGGTAACCGTAGTAGTTCCTGTAGTATCGGTCTCTGTCCTGGGGGTGGTGGTAGTAGTAATTCTGCCACTAGAAGAGAGGGGAACCCCGTCACCTGAGGCCACAGCTGGCTGAGGACCAAGAGGCATGACACTCAGCCCCTGGTCCTGCCCCCCTTCACCCTCTCTATCCCCAGATATACTTACATCCCGATTGTACTGTCTGTAATAGTCTCTGTATCTGTTGTACTCATAATCTCGACTATAGAAGCGATCATAATCTCCCCGGTATCGATCGTAGAAATTACGATAACCCTGAGAAAGGAGAAAGAGGAGTGAAGATTTATGGGTTTCCAGTATCATGATCCACTGCTAGCCCCATCTTAAATGAAACACATCTCAGCTTGATTTTATAACAGACTCAATCTTCCCAGGATAAATCCTTCCAGAGGAACACATTAAATGGGCACAAGCTAGCCCTGAGAAAACAGCCCAAACCACTCTGCTCCCCCAAGCCAATAGGAGTGCTAGCACGGCCCAGAGGAGGAGCAGAAGGAGAGCTGCACTCACCCCTCTGTTTCCAGACTGCCCCCAGTACTGCTGCCCGTAGGCCCGGTTGTCGTAGCCTCGGCGCTGCCCGCCCACTGGAAGAGAAACGGGAGAGCACGCTCAGACAGCTGGCGTGGGGTCCTGGCTCCGTGGCTGAGTGGAAATCAAAAAGCTGGAGCCCAGGGCAATTCTGGGAGAATAGGAGGCCTGCTTCTGTCAGGCTCCCACAGTGTTAATTAAAGCACTAGCCAGGATCTTTCAGGAAGTCTGAGGGGGAAGGCAGAGGAATAGCGACACAAGAAAACCAAGCCACCTTGCTTCTGAAGCTCCCCAATTTCTACAAGATATTTAAGATGATAAAAAAATACCTGGCAGAATTAGAAACGTCAGTAAATACTGCCATTCACAGAACCACTGACTTTCAATCCTGGAAGGGATCTCAGAGGTCAGATAACCCCGACCCATCATCTTATACAGACGGAACGAAGTCTAAGTGACAAACTCCTCCAGGGCAGGCACTGTTGGTATTTCCAGTGCCTAGCACGTAACAGGCATGCAAACATTTTGTTGACTTACTTGCCAACACACACACACACACACACACACATACATTTTTAAAGGGCAGTGAACGCACAGTGGAAGGTTAACTGACAAGCTAGACATTCGAGATGGACATTAATTCCACTTGTAGCCTAAATTACTTCGTAACCCCCACACTACTGCATAGTACATTCACTTTCTGGTCTGTATGGTTGGGCTGGCCCACTCGGTAGAGCATTAAGAAAACTTCAAGTGAGAATCCAATTTCACTGCACAAACCCTTTAGGTAAGCTGCAACAGTGAAGTGGGAAACCGACATATACAAGGGAAAACTAGACAAACGAGAAGGCTCAAGCATTGCTTTTCACAGAAGCAAATATTCCTGCAGAAAAATAACCCCTTTTACTGGAGGATTATGGAAAAGGCACAAGAAGCTGGGGTAAGGCACAGGAAGAAACAAGCTCCATAAGGAAGTCACTTCCTTATTCCTGGTAGTGACTGGACGTGGTTTCCTTACGGATCCCGCTCAGCACAAAGCACAGACGGGGGTCGGGGGCTGCGGCCCGGGACTCACCATAGCCTTGGCCTTGGCCTCGGCTTCGGTTCTGCCGGTTGCGCTTGTTTCGGTTGTTCCGGCGATTTGTCCGTTTCTCAGAGGGGGGCAGCAGCTTCCTTGCCTCCTCCTTGTACTTAGTGACAAGAGGCTGCGCTTCTTCCTTCTCCAGCTCCCCATATGTCACCTCATCCATGTAGTCGCATTTTTCAGGCAAAGAGAAGTTGGCTGTAAGAGTAAGAGAGAAACTTGTGGGCCTGAAAAGTGCAGGGATGGGTAAGAGCTCATTATAAAAACTATTACAGGAAGAATAGATTTCCTAAGCTCCTCTACTAATGCACAAAAACGTGCTGGTACTTATCTATCAAAGGCTTTCCCTAAATTGTAACAGCCACATGCAAAGGGCTACTATAAGTGGTAGATGTACAAGTTCTCAAGTGATCCATAATAAATTAGGGAGTCCACTGGGTTTAGGTTTCTTATCAGGACAGAAGCGGTAGCCAGAGGCGCAAAGTAACTGAGAAAGTTTTGGTGTTGGTTAGATAAGACGCTAAGAAATACAAGTTCAGCGGCTGAGTCCCAGTGGAATGCAGTTCAATGTGGGGCTCTTAATCCTTAGATGAATCCGGTGAACCCTCTTGAACTACATTCCTCCAACCGCCTATCAGTTATGGACTGCATAGTTCTTTCTGTCTAAACTCGGACAGTCTGGCTCTTAGATGTGCAACCGGCTCCATCCCTGGGTGTTAAAAATCACACCCTGAAGGGAACAGCAGGAAGCGAGATCAATCAGGACAGGTAATCCCGCCTCACAGGGGCTTTGCTACTAGGCTTTGTATTGCTTTAAAGGTTTCAGGCTCCTACCAGAAACCAAAATAAGCAAGCCTGATGTGTTATCGGAAATCAAGACATAATGATGGGATCATTCAATCCAACCACTATATTTTAATTTGAATCATAATACTCCCCCCAGAATATAAATTTAATAAAGCAGAGCTTCCTTTCATTCACAATTGCCCTACATCTAGAACAGTGCTAGGCAAGTAGATAGTTTAAGTACTGACTGCATGAGTAACTGAGTCAATGAAGCCTCCGCCTTGAGTTTTAACTATCCTGAGGTCAATCACTATTGTATCTTATCCAGAATGACCAAGGAGTTAGTGCTTCTCCTTCCACTCTGCTTCTTCATTTACCTACAAGCGCTCACATCCATTCATTTACTCTCCAGGGTTACACGTAAGGGGTGGAGAATCCCTCCAGGGGTTGAGAGCCCTAGTGAGGTGTGTGCTGACTAAGGCTAGGTGCCTGACTTGTACAATTTCTGCCCACCTTTCATCTCCAGCATGATGGACTCAGGCACATCATCGCCCTCTACTTCCTTCCTCCACTCCAGCCTCTGCTTCCAATCCTCCTCGCTAGGGACAACCACCACCACTTTCCGAGAGAACGTCTTAAACAGCAACAGTTTCCGCCGTTGGCCAGAGTTGTACACGTTACACTAGGGACAAGAGGAATAACAGGTGTTTTAGGAATAAAAATCATCAAATTCAACGAAAACACTTACTGAGCATCCTTTACAAATGAGGCACCAGATTAGGAGTCTTATACATACAATCTCCTTTGATTCTTTAAACTCTACATGACAGATATTATTGGGTTTTGCACATCAGGAAATCGAGACTCACTGAGGCCAAGACTTGTCCAAAGAAGGTAACAAACCTAGCAAGTGGGGGAGCCAGGAACCAAAGGAGCTCTAACGCCCTCTCCCCGGCCTCGAGGACGTGCCTTCTAGTCTGGGCTCACGTGTTCTCTGGTAGAGCACGAACGGAACACCCACCATCTCTGAGTTCAAAGGATGTTACAACATACAACCTTTTGGTCATAATTAAGTAAACTGATTCTGTTCCTTAACTCAGTATCTTTCTACAAACGCACCCCACTTTAACTCTGAGCAATTGTATCAGATTAAATGGATGCCAAAATTTTCATCTTTGGATTTTCTGTAAAGTGAGGTTGCTTCTGAATGTCTGAAAAATACCTGATCAAGAATGAAGTTCCTCTTTGTCCGGGAAGCAATCTGGACCAGTTTGCTAAGGCACTGGGAGGCTTGCTGAACTAAAAGGTCTCGGCTTTTGGGGTCCATTTCTGGCTCCTCAAGCCCCTTCATCTGATGAGTTTGAGAGGAAAGGAGAGAAACGCAAGAAGTTATACAGCAAGTTAAAGCCTAAGAGTCATAGGTTTCTTTAATGCCACCAAAGCTGTCACATCAGTTCATTCCTATTCCTCTGTGCCATGAATGTTGTCCACTTTATGCAGGAGTCACTTCTAGTCTTAATCTGAATATATTCCAGATTTTATCATCTTTCAGAAATATGACAACACAGCAAAGAAGAAGAAAAAAAGCCCTCCCTTTAACATGTACTGAGATGAATTCATTTCTCTATTTGTGTTGTCAGACACTCGAAAGACTAACTCCACTGGGAAAGGTTATAGGAATATCTTGATACCCCCAAAGCAATTACCCAGTTGACTAACCTCCCCCAGCAACTCACCCTCATTTGATTGAGGACAGTCTCAGCTCCCAGGACATTGTATCTTTTCTCAGGGTTTTCTTTTGAGTATTTCAGTGCCCACTGAGTCTTTCCAGATCCGGGAAGTCCCACCATCAGAATCACCTGCAAACAAACAAAACCAGGAATACCATAAAAAATTAGCAAGGGTCATGTTTAAAAGCCCACTTTAATAATACCCTTCCTTGCCCCAGTTCAGAAAAGCTGCCGCCCCCACAGCAGGAGCACTAAGCCTTTTGCACACTGTGTTGCACACCTCACACTCCTCTATGGTCTTAGGTGGGACTGCAGTGCGCACACGCTCCTCAACAGGCACAGCGTGGATGAATACAAACTCTTCTGGTGGCGGGAAGAAGGGCTCCTCCTTCTGACCAAAATTCAATTCTACGACACAATTTTTGCAGAGGACATGGGGTAGGAGCGCCCGGTCTGCCAGGGATTCCTTGTTGATCCGGAATGCCACACCAAGGTCTTCTCCATTCTTAGAAAAGGAAAGTTCTACTTCTTCAGTCTCAAAATTCTACAGTGACAAAAGACAAGAGCACTTATGGGTTTATAGGGTTTGAGGTTGCTTGAATCTTACAATTTAATCTTTAAGCAATGCATCAAATACATAAAATACAGCAACTAATGGGAAGGGAACTGAATTCCCAATGCCCTCTACCCTGGCCCTGCTGTGCACCCACAACTTTCAGGAGCACTTACAGCAAAGCAGCCAATGACATCATTCTCCCCAAAAGTCTGGCCAAATTCCTCAAATTGCCCATTCTCTGCCTTGAGTCCTCGCCCATCAAAACCGTAAGAGAATTCATCCTCACCTAGAATGGTGAACAAATTAGTTACCTACACCCAAACTTCCCATGAGTAAGCAATATGGTAGCAAACATGAATGATGAAGTTAAAGTAACGTTACCAAGCTGTGGGTGGGAAAAATCAACAGACCATCCGACTCGAAGGAGAGAAACCTCTGTGCAGCCTTCTTTCATTGGGAGATTCTGGGTTACCTGGCCAGGTCAGAAAAAAAACCTCTCAGATACTCAGGCCAACTCAGAAGCAAAGTTTCTTAAAAAACAAGATATTTATTTCTTTAATCCTCACCCAAAGGTATGTTTTTATTGTGTTTAGAGAGAGAGGAAGGGAGAGAGAGAGAAACATCAACCAGTCACCTCCCATATGTACTCTGACCAGGAGTCAACCTAGGTATGTGCCCTGACCAGAAATCAAACCTACAACCCTTGTGTAAGGATGACACTCCAACCAACTGAGAAACAAGGCCAGAGCAAGACAAGATTTTTATACAAACTAAAAATGACAACTCTCATAACTTAGCATCAGAATAATAACTGCCAATGAACTTAAACCAAAACCCTGGGAAGAGACAATTTCTTGATTACTGGAGCTAAGGCTATCACTGAAGTGTGTGGCACCTTTTTCTGCACTAATGAAATACTGGTGGGCAGGAGTCCAGTACACAGTAGTTTAATCAATAATTTAATAAATGAACGGTCTTAATGAGCTGTACATACTACCTTGGCCTCAAAGCAGACTTTCCCCTTTGTCACTCCATAAGTACTCCTTGCCCCAGACCACAGGGTAGGGAACTTCTCTGAGAAAAGTGGCTGCCCTCCATAGCCGTCTTTGCTCACTTGAAAATGGAGATCAGAGGTATCTGTTAAGAAAGAAGCAATCCATTAATACTTATGTGCCACCAATAGCACACAAGTATACCCAGTTTTCAAGAATGGATACAAAATCTCTCATATGCTAAATCTCTTAAAATTTGCAGGCCATGAAATTTTAATCTCCAAAATCACTTCTGATTGGTTAAAACCCCAACCTGTCTGCCTTATACATACACGTGTCCAGGTTCACAAGAGTTTGATCTTCCTCCTCCTCTTTTGCCTCTTCTTCAGGGGGTGGTGGAGACTTTGAGCTACACAAGTAAGAGAAAAGCAGATACAATGTAACCAAAGCCCTCTTAGCGAGGTGTCTGCAGGACATTGTTTTAAACTACAGCGAATATAAATTCCAGCAGACAGCTTCTTTCAGTAAAGGAGAAAAGGGCAACAGGAGCTTTCAGAGTAGATTCGATCTAAAACTTATGCCTATAAAACCTATTCCATTTTTAATCCACCCCTTTCCAGACTCTCCAATCAACACCAGGTACACCAAGATCAGCGCAGACACTCCCTCCAAGGGAAGGGACTGTTTCCCTCACCGGCTGTGGTAAGCCTCCTCTCGGAATTCATAGTAAGCTCGGCCATGTTCATCCTTCTCATCCCGCTGTCTCTTTACCCCCCGCCGCTCACCATCTGAGCCTGCTGGTTTTGACTTTTCACTATCTTGGTCATCTCCTACAAAAAGGAGGGAAAGAAAATCAGCAGTTTTCATATTGGAGTGTAGAATAAGCTCAGAACCAACAGATACTAAAGGGGATCTGAGTATCTGTTTCATCAGAATAGCCAAGTTAATCCCACTGCATCCACAGAACATTTTATTTCCAAAGGTCATCTTCCTACATTGGCTGAAATTGTATTTATGTTTTTAAAGTACACTATGGACTAATTACAGTCAAGCAGTAGACAAAAATTGGACAATTTTTGCATTCTAAATTTATCTGCATAAATCGGGTCAAACTTGCAGTTTTCCTAATAGTATGACATAAAAAAACTTCATTGGTTAATTTAATTTTGATTCCTGATAGTCAGATTTGGATTTAAGCTAGACACAAAGTATATTTTCCAACACTTACCCACAGCTTCATGATATAGAAGCCTCAATTTAGAAAAACAAGGGGTTTGCCTTTCCAGCTTTAAAATGCACAGCCATCCACGGATTTACTTATATAGCAAGTGGATACAGGTGCATGACACAGAGCTGTATTTTTATAATGGATTTTTACTGAAAGTTGCGAGAGCAAAACCATTCATTCACAAGAGGCACATCTTTTAATTCTGCATCATTGCTGCACATAATTTGGGGGCAGAAAGGCGCTATCAGATATTTAGCAACATTCTTTATTAGAGGAAAAAAACAACTCAGGAGTTTTTCCTTCGGCCTCTGTAGTTTTCAATACGGAGGTTTTTAAATAATAATTTAAGGCAGTCCTTTATTCTTTAACCTTTTTTATTTTATTGTTCCCCATCGCCATTTATCGCCTCTATGCCCTCTTCACCTCCCGCCACCTCTTTTATCTGCTATTTGGGGTACACATTATGTCAAAGGTTATGTAATGGGATTGTTGTTCCAGGACGTAGGCAAACAATCTTCAAGTAGCACGTGATTATTGTAGAATGGGTTCCAATTAATACCACGATACTAAGTAGCAGCCCACACAATGTATTAATACAGGAACTAAGGCCGGCAACCCGCTTCACAGTAAGACTTAGAAGCGGCTCTAGCTGTCCGCCTCACTGTGATAGATAGTTATGGGTCAACTTAACCATCCAATTACTTCAAAGGAAGGCAGGTGACTAACTACCGGGGCAACTTTACACATGCTCTTCCCCAGGGTTGCTTGATGGATCCACCACCACCTCAATCGTTTCAATTCAGTTCATCAGGGGCCTGAAACGTAAAAGGCTACGCGTGCACCCCATTTACAGATATGCCCGCCCTTCCACTCAGTGGGAAGATGACATTTTCATCATAACACAGGCCAGGGAAAAGCCCCCGCCAGTTAACTGACTTATCATTCCCAATGCACTGGACAAGCCTTCTCTTTGCTAGTTAACTATTAAACTCGACGCCGTCACCCCACTGGCTGTGCCCTGCTGCTGCCTGCGCAGGAGCAAGGGTAGACCGCCAGGTTCTGCGTGGCTCAAGCCGTCCCACTGTGCGTCTGTCTGATGGATCGACCGCTGACGGATTTAGTTACTGCTTCATATTTTTTATGGCGAAAACGCCAGCAGCCAGCCCAAAGGCCAAAGCCCCCATCAGTCGGTCGGTCTGGCTGTCGTCCGTGGGGCTGCCCACGCCTCCGTGCCTTCTCGGGTTAGGACACGGTAACCAGCGCCGTGGGGGCTGCTCCACAGGTAGCTCGCGAGCCGTCCGCACGCAGCACCGCTCCTGTCCATCCACCACCACCAACCCACCCAGTTAGGCAGGAACCTCCCTCCTGCAGAGCCGGGCCACCCGAGGCGGCCAAACCTCCCAGGAAGGTGCGGGGGGAATAAAAGCCACCTCCCCTGGGAAATCCCACCCAACGGCGAAGGGAACCTTGCACGTCCGGCAGTGAGAACAAGGGATCGGACCCCGGGGTGCAAGGCTGGGCGCCTGGGACGAGGGCGCACCCGGCAGGTCGGAG